ATTAAAAACTTGTATAAATTCTCATATAGAACATTAAAGATACATTCTTTCATATTCTTTTGGTCATTTTTTTTTCTCTAGAAAATATTCTTTTTCATTAGATTAGGTAATGCTCTCATTCAATTCTATGACTATTTTCTAGGGAGTAAGGTACTGTGGTTTTTATATCATCCTTTGAAATGACAAAGGCATTTGGAAAGCTAAAGGATACATGTAGATATGATGCACTTCAGATTTAATTTTGAAATACTTTTTAAGATTGTATTTATTCATTTGACAGAGGGAGAGCACAAGCAGGGGGAGGAGCAGAGGGAGAGGGAGAAGCAGGCTCCTCATGGAGCAGGGGGCCCAATGAGGGGCTCCCTCCCAGGACCCCAGGATCAGGACCTGAGCTAAAGGCAGATGCTCACCCACTGAGCCACCCAGGTGCCCGTTAAATTCTTTTAACATCATATAAAATATTATCCAGAAGGAATTTGAGTGAATTTTAATCCTGGTAACAATATAAAATAACATATTTTAAAGCTTCCTATTGTCAAAAATAATACATTGAAGGTCATACATATTACATTTGAGAATTATCATTATTATATTCTTGTCTTATTTCTCGTACATGATTTCTTAGCCCTCTACAGTCTATAGTAAAATTAGGAAAAGGGATTTTTGAAAATTATATTGGTTAAAAGAAAATTTTTATTAAGAAAATAATGTAAATCAGTGCTAGTACTGTATTTTTAATTTCAAAATTTACGCCACATTTAATGTGGTTTCCTTATTTATTTTATTTTACTTTTTTAATTTAGGCTTATTTATATGAGAGAGAGAGAGAGCGAGCGAGCTGGCAAGCAGGTGAGGGGGAGAGGGAGAGGGAGAGAGTCTTAAGCAGACTCTGTGCTGAGTGTGGAGTGCTGCCTGGGGCTTGATCCTACGACCCTGAGATTAGGACCCTGAGATAACTGAGCCAAAACTAGGAGTCGGCTCTCAGCCAACCACACCACCCAGGCACCCCTCATTATGTTATTTAAAATTATATATTTAATAGTACGAAATATATTGAAATAATCAGGATCAAAGTATTTTAATAATTTTGATTTTTCTTCAAAATAACTTATTTTTAGAAATTTTGTGGTTAATAACCATGACCATTAGAGTCTTATTTTTTCTTGTGTAATGAACATCTAGAATTTTAGCCTTTTATATACGTGCTGCTGAAGCCAACACTAGAATTAAAGCATTTCAAAATCATCGATTATCCATAATAATGAAAAACTAATGAGGAAATTGTTATTCTTATTTTAAATAATCAGTTACATGGGTGTGTGAAACTTTGGAAAATTAACTTTGCCGTATTTTAGTGGTTTTATAAAGTATAAAAAAGATCTATTTTATTATGTCTAGCTTGCACATATTTCTCCAAAAGTTTCAATTCATATTATCTATTTTTCTTTATTTTTTAATTTTAATCTTAATTTTTTTTTTAAGTAATCGCTACACCCAACGTGGGGCTTGTTCACAACCCAAAGAGCTACTGTCTGAGCCAGCTGGGAGCTCCTGATGGTATTTTTTGAAAGAGGAAATTTTGTCAGAATACTGTGCTAGTCTTATCCAGATATTACTGAAATATCACTGAAACATACTTCTGGTCCATTGTGACATTTTTTTAAATAAAAGCAACTGCTTAAAATATTTAAGTGTCCTTTGCTACTTTGCTCCTTTGTACTAAGAATAACATACTAGTCTATCTTTACTAAGTTAGAGTTGTGTCTGAAGCACTATTTAAGCACAAATCCTTACTCTCAGGATCTCAAACGTTTGAACAAGCATACGTGTGACGCGTGTGCTCCAGGATGGAACAGATGGCCGCAAAGCAGTACAATTTATTCACGAGCTGAAATCCAACTTTCAAGCACGAGAGCCTCCCCAGTGACTTACACTCCTCTGATAGGCCAAACTGTCTTCCACTAATCAATGTTTCCATCTCCGACTTGAAAAATGCTGCCTCTGCCCCAGAGAGAGCATTCACTCATCCAACCGTCATGACCTTTTAACCTAAAGAAAATCGGTCCTCCTCCTCAAGGAGCGTGTTAGAAGTAGAACTTGTTTCCCAGTAGACATCACTTAGAAAACAGTTCATCAGCTTTTAATCTTCTAATCGCCTTTGAAAATGTTCCTGCAAATGCCTACCTCTGAATATTTCATCACAATGCCTGCTTTGAATAAAATATTTATTACCATGTGTACAAGCAACACATTACATGAGTGGTGATTAGTCAGCATCGTACTCACGAAGGTGTTTGCTCAGTGTAACACCAGCTCTGCAGCTACACTCCACTGGTAAGAACAACCTTCTGCCTCTACAAGCTCCAGAAGGCATTCTCTGGCCAGAATCAGAAAAAAAAAAAAAAAAAAAAGGCTTAAAATGGGATGATATAATACTCCCTCAATGGGGAGCTGAGCGAAATTCAGGGAAAGAGTCAGAAGGAGCAGCACTGCGTTCTCGCGTCAGACTAGGAGCAAGAAAATGTGGATTTCTGTTGTTTTGGCTTCCCACCTTGGGTGAGACGTGCAAGCCCTTTACACTTTATTTTCCTCATTTAGATAAAACCCAGGATTTCCAAGCATTCAGCTATTGCACACTGTGCCTCTGCTGAAGCGCTGGGGGACATGGACAAAGGGTTCAAGCCCCACCAGCCTCCGGCCTCCTTTGGCTCAAGCCTCCAGCCACGTCCCCCGACCCCCGAGCTGTGGTGACCCTACACCAGTGGGCAGCCCACCGCCCGGCAGCCTCCCCGCGACGAAGACTCACCTCACTGTCTGCCTTTGCTGCCAGGACCCTGGCCCCCTGCCACGGAGAGGCTGAGGTGAGGAGCGGCCTCGGCTGGAGGCCGCAGCCACCTGGCCACAGCCAAGCAGCAGCCGAAACTCAGTCTTTGAAATGACCTGTTCACTGCGCCTCTAATTTCCATTTTTTGGTCACCTCCTTTCCTTTGTTGCCTCTCCTTTCCTTCCCCTTCCTCTTAGACCTTCTAGACACCACCGTGGAGGATGTTTGGCAATGGACCTACACACTTCCTTCCCTCCCCAGCCCTCTTAGGAAGAATGATGCTACTGTCCATGTCTGACCCAGTTATTCCATCGCCTCTCGCTTCCCCTCACGTTTCATTCTCGTCGGTTCCCTCTGCCATTCCACCCACCTATCCGGAACCTCTCTGAAGCCTCCCCCCTCTGAAATCTCTTATTCAGGTACTACTTTCTCTGACCCCAACTTCCTATTTTTGCAGCTTGCCTGCCTGCTGCTCCTGTTTGGCCAATCTTGGTCTTCTGATTCATTTACTCCTTCATCCTGCCTTAGAGTCAGACTTTTCCTATAAATCTTTTCTAATTTGTTCAGATTTTGAGTCTATTTTGAGTCTTCGATCTCTCCCTTGTTGAGGCTCCAAACTTGGCATGTTCATTTTCCTTTAATTGTGACTGCCCCCCAGAGCTGCAACCATGATGAATGTAATGCTCCATCTTCTCTACTGTGGCACGTAAGAGTCTGTTTTTGCAGCTAAACATCATCCGAATGAGTCAGATTGGTAACATTACATAGATCCGTAGCCCCCAAACTTAAAAGGACTTTAAAATGGCCTGAATTGCCATCATGTTTCACTAGTTTAACTTGCCATTTCCCTTCAGAAGACAGTGTCTTGGGTCCTTTTCCAGTGACCTCAAATCTCTTTCTTTTTTACTCACTGTCTGCTGACTTAGACGGCGACCTCCCTTGTTATAGTGGATCTGTCCCTCCATCCTACTGTAGGCTCCTGACACCTACGCTCTGGCCCTTCTGTTATTACCAATGATCAGCAGCACTATCTGCCTGATATCAATTATCACACACACAGGCTGTATTTTTAGTGACATATAAAAGGGTTCAAGTCTCAGCTTTAAAAAAAATAAAAAATAAAAAATAAACCCTGAATGTCTTCCAGTTACTTTTCTTTCCTTCGTAATCTCTTGTGCTGAGTTGTACATACTCCCTGTTTCCATGTGCTCACCTGCCATTTTCTCTCCAATGCAATCGACCTAGACTTGGCTCCCACCACTCCACTGAACTCTCCTAGCTGAGGTTACGACTATTCTCCTCATTGCTAAAGCAAAATTGCATTCTTCAGTCTTGATCTCACCTGACCTAGTTGAAGACATTTTCTTTCTTTGGTTTTCTACTAATACCACGTATTTTTTTCATTTTGCCTCCCTCCTATGTGGCCACTTGTCTTCATGATTCAGTAGTTCAACAAATATAGAATTCCCATGTTTGTCAAGCACTGTATGTCGACCATACAGCAGTGAACTAGACAATGAGGTCCTTGCCCTCAAATATATTTTAAGGGGGGGGATTAAGTAATTGTATTCAGGTTTCAAAAATAGTACAAATAGTAGAAATTTGGTGGTACTTCTATGTTTTTTAAAATCAGCGAAACCATTCTAAATGTGGCATAACTTATAGCATTATAAAATACTTTATTTTCATTTCATGTATAAGCAATACCTTTAGAGAAATAAAGTGAAAAAGACAACTACCCTCTGGATTTTCTTATAGGTTTATGGTGAATATTAATACAAGAAGATGCAAAAAATATACAAGATCTTGAAAAGAATTCTTCTATATTAAATGTTATCAAGTGGAATATTTAAAAACAGTGGCTCAATGCAAGGAAAATCTATTTCCTTAATTTAAGTAAAAATAATTATTTTAATCAATATGAAATAAAATTTCTAAAAATTATTCATAATTAACAACATCCTGAATATACTCATCAAAACACCTAATGCTTAAAGGCTTATAAAGAATGTGGTCATTTCTTTTAGAGTAGTTAGTAATTTATAGACAAGTAGGTAAAATGATGACAAAGAAGTCTATGTACATTTGTCAAGAGTATACAGTATTTATATTCTACAAATGAAGCACTTTTACGTTCAATATTCAAATATTTTCTGATGTTAATAAAAATACATCTTCATAACTGAATTCCTTCCAATATTAAAGATAGCTCAGGACTTTTTGTCTTTAAAGGATGAGATTCGGGCCTTCTTGACAGATTACTACATTTTTGTCTAATTTTTCCCATGCAATTATTGTATCTTTTAGGCGAACTAATCTTGGTTGTACCCCAACTGACATCAAGATTTAAATCTTCTGGGAGGAAAGTACTTTATCTCTTCTTCTCTTCTTTTATTCTAGTACCAAGAGTCTTCTTTGGATTGTGGTTAATACGTTTACAGTCTCTGGCCATCTTCTGGCTTTGACCAGCGTAGTGTTTTTCACTGATACATGGGCTTTCCATTCCAGTGGAACATACCATATTCTTGTGAGCAATAGAAGGAAGAAATGTTTGAGATGACATTTTTCCAACAGTTCTAGTTGGTAAATCTTGAAGATACCTGGGAAAATGTTGGCTAATTTTATATTCATAGATTAATTTCCTTGAGTTTGAATCATCTGATTTGATAGAGAATTGATCATCTATTGTTATATTCTGATAGGTATTTGCTGAACTTTCAGGTGTATCCAGTTTTCCAGAATTACACTGAGGTATGCTTGGTAAAATTCCAAGTCTATTTTGTTTTAAGCCTAATCCAGTACCAGGAATAAAAAGTTCTGGTTCTTCCTGTTTTGACAGATGAGTGATGCTTGCGTTTGAAGTGGACTGATGTGCGTGTCCATTTACTGCTGTATCTTTCCAGATTAAAGGGTTATATATAACTTGTCCATCAATAGGGCATGAGTTGCACTTGTAGAATAACCAATTGTCAATACATTTCCTATGAAACTTAAAAAAAGGTTATAAATTAATCAGAGATACAATTATCTTGTTTATGATGTGTATTATCTATGCAAGTTTCTCCCAGTTTCATTATTGTGTTACTATTAAAACTATTTAGCAAGAATGGAAGATAATTATAATTTATCAAGTTTTATGGAAACAATTTGAAGAGAAAAATGGAATGGGTTATGGACTGATCTCCATTTTCAACCTTAAAATGGAAAGGCTTTTATGGACATCATTTTTGTAACCTCATTAAATCCCATTACTTATTCAAGCCATTAATTTCACTGTTCCTTTCTAATGAATTAAATTTATTAAATGACAAAAATAGTCACAACCAACTAGAGTTGGAAACGGATCTGATGATGGTAAGGTGTAAAATAACAAATCACATTCTTGGGAAGAAAGCAAACTATCAGACATTTTAAGTAAAGGTGACTCTAGAGCTATAAATACTTATTTAAAGTAACTTTATTTCAGAAAAAACCTGGTTACCAATAGTCATTGAACAACATTAGACTTTAATTTCAGTGAATTCACTTGAAATAATAATTATGTCAAATTAAACATTTCTGTTTCATCCAAAGAGTCACAAAAACACCTTATTATTCTGCAAGCTTTTTCTTTCTGTGGGTAACTAAAGTAGATAAGGTAGATAATCTAATCTGAAGCGCTATTTTGTCTTTCCTGGATAGAGTATACAGAAATGAGTCCTAATCCATAGAAATCCATCCATAAGGGACAGAGCTGCCTTCTCAATGGTCTCTGCTGCAGCTCTACTATACACACTCTTCAATATGAACATCTCTGCACATAACACAAATAAAAAGTGAAAAGAGACACTTAAATTGTCAATTAATTCACAAAAACTGGCCCTACAAGGAAAGTCAAACTAAAATGATGTGACTGCTACCTTGTGAGTACATGGTAGTAATCTTGTATGTTGACCGAGACGAAATGCCTTCAAACAGAGTCGACACTGATAGCCTGGAGCAAGCATCTTACTATTCTTTGTAATTAGTAAGAGAGGCAGTGACTTCACCACTTGTTTTGGTGTGTAAACTGGGCTGAATGAAAATGAGCAGAAAGACATGAATATTTATACATGATTATCGATCAGGAAGTAATCAATAGCACAGGTAAATAACCGCCATATAAATAATGTAAATGAATTCAATATTTTCTTGAACTGAAGGTAATAAATCTCATACATTATGAAGTTAAAAAAATCTATTGTATTGATGCTGAACAAGATGGATCCAATTTCAATACCAACTTCATAAATAACAAAATTTAGTCATTTCAAATAAAAATACTAAACTGAAATTTTTTTATTTGTAGTTTTTAATGTCTATGAAACAAGAACAATATTTTAATGAGAACCATATACTCAAATTATTTCAGTCTGACCCAACACTTCCGCCTTGTGTTTAGAAAAATACAACCCAATTCATGATGCCATTTGGTGCATGGTAAGCCACATTAGATACTCCGGGCTACTGTGATAAATTGGTAGATGAGAATCTAGGAGGAAACTCATTTTCCCTTAGAGTATATGCTTACTACTTGAGTATTGTTAGACTATGTTAATGTTACTCTAGAATTACCAACCCTATTTTTGTACCATAAGTAGCAACTAACCAAATTGAGATTAATGTAAATTAACTGCTATTTGATGCCATTAACAACTAATAAAGCAGATAAAACAAATATTTAAAAACAAAACTTGAAAAAAACAAAAAACAAAAAACAAAACTTGATTAAAGCTTAGACACATTCCTATCATTCAAAAGTCATTGAGAGCAAAGTTCAAATACAGGAATACCTCGGAGATATCGTGGGCTTGGCTCCAGACCACCACAATAAAGTGAGTACCACAATAAAGCTAGTCAAGTGAATGTTTTGGTTTCCCAGGGCAAATAAAAGTCATATTTGCATTATACTGTAGTCTATTAAGCATGCAAAAACATTATGTCTGAAAAAGCAATGTACATGCTTTAACTAAAAATACCTTATTGTTAAAAATGCAGGTAGTAAAAATGCTAACATTACTTGAGCTTTCAGTGAGTTGTAATATTTTGCTGGTCTTGCCTTAATGTTAATGACTGTTGACTAATCAAGGTATTGGTTGGTGAAGGCTGGGATGGCTGTGGCAATTCCTTAAAATAAGACAACAACAAAGCTTGTCTCATCAATTGATGCTTCCTTTCTATAGGATGCGATGCTCTTTGGTTGCATTTTACCCAAAGAAGAACTTCCTTCAAATTTGTCAATAATCTTTTTCTAAGAAAAGGATTTACTTATTTATTTCAGAGAGAGAGAGGGAAAGAGAGAGAGAGAGTGTGTGTGTGTGTCTGTGTGTGTGTGAGTAGGGGGAGGGGCACAAGGAGAAAGAGAGAGAGAAAATCTCAAGCAGACTCCTGGCTGAGCTCAGAGCCTGACATGGGGTTTAATCTCATGACCTTGAAATCATGACCTGAGCCAAAATCAAGCACTCAACTGACTGAGCCACCCAGGCATCCCAAAATTTGTCAATTCTCTTAGACCCTGCGGCTACTTTAATTAACTAAGTTGATGTAATATTCTAAATCCATTGCTGTCATTCCAACAATCTTCACATCATCTTCACCACCAGGAGTAGATTCCATCTCAAGAAACCACTTTCTTTGCTGATTCATAAGCAGCAACTCCTCATCCATTAAAGTTTTATCATGAGATTACAGCAATTCAGTCAATCTTCAGGGCCCACCTCTAATTCTAGTTTTTTTTGCTGTTTTCAACACATCTGCAGTTACTTCCTTCACTGAAATATTGAATCCCTCATTCCTGAGGGTTGGAATCAACTTCTTCCTAACTCTTGTTAATATTAATATTATGACCTGTTCCATGAATAATGTTTTTTTTGAATAATGTTCTTTTTTTTAATTTTTTTTATTTTTATTTATTTTTATTTTTTATTTTATTTACGATAGTCATACAGAGAGAGAGAGAGGCAGAGACACAGGCAGAGGGAGAAGCAGGCTCCATGCACCGGGAGCCCGACATGGGATTCGATCCCGGGTCTCCAGGATCGCGCCCTGGGCCAAAGGCAGGCGCCAAACCGCTGCGCCACCCAGGGATCCCTTGAATAATGTTCTTAATAGCATCTAGAATGGTGAAGTTTTTTCCAGAAGAGTTTTAATTTACTTTGCCCAGATCCACTAGAAGATTCATTATGACAACCATAGCCTTACAAAATGTATTTCCACTTCCAGGGAACGTGGCAGAGCAGGAGTATCCCAGGCTCACTGAATTCCATGTCTACACCTAGGTACACTGACAGCAGATTAAATAACCCAGAAAATGACCTGAAGACTTGCAGAACAGATTCTCAACAGCTAAATGAGAGAAGACTACATCAAAGAGGGTAGGGAGGGCAGAGATGCAAGTTGGGAGCCAAATTGACCTGTGAGACTGTCTGCAGGAGGAAGAAATGCCATTAGTGTGGGGAGGGGAAGGGCCAGGTCCCAAACCAGGCACTGCAGTGAGGGGCATAATGTATTCAAAGTGGTAAAAGAAAAAAATCTATAGCCAAGAATACTCCATCCAGTAAGGTATCATTCAGAATAGAAGGAGAGATAAAGAGTTTCCCAAACAAAAGTTAAAAGAATTCATCATCACTAAACTAGATCTACAGGAAATGCTTAAGGGAATTCCTTGAGTAAAAAGGAAAGGCCATAAGCAGGAGTAATAAAAGTAGGAAGCACAAAAGCAGTAAATTTAAGTATATCTATAAATATCAGTCAAGGAATTCACAAAATAAAAGGATGTAAAGTATGACATCATACACCTAAAATGCAGAGGGGAGAGGGGTAAAAATTTAGTGCATTTAGAATAGGTTGAAACTTAAGTAATCATCACCTTAATATAGACGGCTACATGCACAAGATGTTATATATAAACCTAATGGTAACCACAAATCAAACACTGGTAATAGATATGCAAACAATAAAGGGGTTGGAATCCAAGGATATCACTAAAGAAAGCCAGCAAACTGTGAGAGGAGAGAGCAAGATTACAAAGGAACAGAGAAAGACTACAAAACAACCATAAAACTAGTTAAAAAACAGCAATATACACTCTCAATAATTACTTTCCATGTAAATGGACTCAATGCTCCAATCAAGACATAAGGTGATGGAATGGATAATATAAAGCAAGAACTATGTGCTGCCTACTAGAGACTCATTTCAGACCTAAAACACAGGCAGAGTGAAAATGAAGGATGGAAAAACATTTATCATGCAAATGGAAGTGAAAAGAAGGCAACACTTTTATCAGACAAAATAGATTTTAAAACAAAGACTGTGACAAGAGACAAAGGATACTATATGATCATAAAGGGAACAATCCAAAAATATATATGACAATTATAAACATTTATGAATCTAACGTGAGCAGCCAATAACAAACATAAAGGAAATAATTGGTAGTAATACAATAGTAGGGGACTTTAACATCTCACTTACATCAACAGATAGATAATCCAAACAGAAAATCAACAAGGAAACGGTGGCTTTGAATAACACGTTGAGTCACATGGATCTAATAGATATAATCAGAACATTTCATCCTAAAAGAGCAGAATACACATCTTTTCAAGTGCACATGGAACATTCTCCAGAATCAATCACATACCAAAACCAGACAGTGTCACTACAAAAAAACACTACAGACCAATATCCCTGATGAACATGGATGCAAAAATCCTCAACAAAATATTAGCAAACCACTTACAACAATACATTACAAAGATTATTCAACATGATCAGGTGGAATTTATTACTGGGATGCAAGAGTGGTTCAGTATTTGCAAGTCAATCAACATCAGACACCACATCAACAAGATGAAGGATAAGAATCATATGATCATTTCAATATATATAGAAAAAGCATTTGACGAAGTACAACACCCATTTATGATAAAAACTCTCACCAAAGTAGGTTTAGAGGAAACATATCTCAACATAATAAAGGTCATATATGAAAAACCTACAGCTAACATCAAACGCGATGGTGAAAAACTGTGCACTTTTCCCTTTAGGTCAGGAACAAGACAGGGATGTTCACTCTCACCACCTTTATTCACCAGAGTACTGAGGGTCCCAGCCACAGCAATCTGATAAGCAAAACAAATAAAAGGCATCCAAATGAGTAAGGAAGAAGTAAAAGTTTCACTATTTGCGGATGACATAACTATATACAGAAAACCCTAAAGTCTACACCAAAAACTACTAGAACTGATAAATGAATTCAGTAAGATTATAGGATATAAAATCATTTAGAAATCCATTGTATTTCTACATACTAATAACAAGCAGCAGAAAGAAAAATTAAGAACAATCCCATTTACAACAGCACCAAAAAGAACAAAATACCTAGGAATAAACTTAACCAGGGGGTGAAAACTAGAAAACATTGATGAAAGATATTGAAGATGACACAACAAATGGAAGGACATTTTATGCTCACGAAATAACAAATATTGTTAAAATGTCCACACTACTCAAAGCAATCTACAGATTTAATGCATTTTTCTAGATTTTTATAGAGCTATACAAATACCTACATCATTTTCCACAGAACTGGAACAAACAGTCCTAAAATTGGAATGGAACCACAAAAGACCCTGAATAGCAAAAGCAATCTTGAAAAAGGAGCTAAAGGTATCACAATTCCAGATTTCAAGCTGCCTTACAAAGCTGTGGTAATCAAAACAGTATGGTACTGGCGGAAAAATAGACATATTAGATCAATGGAACAGAATAGAAAGTCTGGACATAAACCGACACATATATGGCCAATTAATCTTCGACAAAAGAGGCAAGAATATGCACTGGAAACAAGGCTGTTCAATAAACGGTGTTTGGGTAAGTGAACAGCGACATGCAACAGAATGAAACTGGACCACTCTCTTACACCATGCACAAAAGTCAACTCAAAGTGGATTAAAGACCTAAATGTGAGACCTGAAACCATAAAACTGCTAGAAGAGAGTATAAGCAGTAATTTCTCAGACACTGGCTGTAACAACATTTTTTCTAGATATGTTTCTCTCTCTTTTTAAAGATTTATTTATTTATTTGAGGGAGAGTGAGCACAAGGGAGGGGGAAGCAGAGGGAGAGGGAGAGAGAACTTCCAGTAGACTTGTGCTCAGCGTGGAGCCCACTGCAGGGCTCAGTCTTGTGACCTTGAGATCATGACCTGAGCCAAAATCAAGAGTCTGGATGCTTAACTGCCTGAGCCACTTAGGGGCCCCTCTAGATATGTCTCTCAAAGCAAGAGAAACAAAAGCAAGAATAAACTATTAGGACTACAGCAAAGTAGGAAGCTTCTACACAGCAAAGTAAACAACCAACAAAACTAAAGACAACCTACTGAATGGAAGAGAATATTGCAAATATTGCAAGTTATAAGCAAATAACTTATCTGATTAATGGTTAGTATCCAAAATATGTAAAGAACTTATACAACTCAACACAAATAACTTTTTTAAAGATTTTATTTATTTATTCATGATAGACATAGAAAGAGAGAGAGAGGCAGAGACATAGGTGGAAGGAGAAGCAGGCTCCATGCAGGGAGCCCAACGTGGGACTTGATCTCGGGGCTCCAGGATCACGCCCTGGGCCAAAGGCAGGCACTAAACTGCTGAGCCACCCAGGGATCCTCCAAAATCAAATAATTTAATTAGAAAATGGGTAGGAGGTGCCTGGGTGGCTCAGTCGGTTGAGCCTCAGACTCTTGGTTTTCTGCTTGGGTCATGATCTCAGGGTCATGAGATCCAGCCCCACGTAAGGCTCAGCGCTCAGCGTAGACTATTGTACACCTGAAACTAACATAGCTAACGCTGTATGTTAACTCTCCCAGAACTAAAGGTTTACTTAAATGTATTTCTTAAATAATAAGACTTGAAGTCAAAATTACTCATTAATTCACAGGGTGAAGAATGGATGTTGTATTCGCAGGCACGAGAACAACATTACAATAGTAATGTCAAGGATTACGGATCCCAGATCGCCATAACAAATATAACTATCTGAGAAAGTTTGAAATATTGCAAGAATTACCAAAATATGTTAACAGAGACATGTAGTGAGCAAATGCCGTTGGAAAAATGGCACCGATATACCTGCTTGATATGGGTTATCACAAACCCCTGGTTTGTAAAAAAATGCATATCTGTAAAGTATAATAAAGTCAAGCACAATAAAACAAGGCATGCTTATATTTTTCAGAAACGTTTATATTTCTTATCACTCTACAGATATACTTCCATCACACTACAACGGTTGCTTTTACCAAGGTCGTCTAATTGTCGACCCCCCCCCAAAAAAAAACTGTATATTTTTATTATTTAAGGTGGTAACCATACTTTATCTTGAAATTATCTTTTATTTATTCTTTCTCTGCCTAGAATGCTTTTCTCTTCTACCCTAATGTTCTCTCGCTTTCACCTATAAATTCTTCAAAACCTTTAGTTATACAGAGTTTGTCGCTCTCGTGGGTTGGTGTGATACCTAGCCAGAGCCAGAAGAAATGGAGATGGAGAGCCTTGGCATAGGCTTATTATACACCCACGATGTATTTTATGCTCCGAGAACAAGCACAGTTTTTATTTGGATAACTCACTGAAATTATTTTTTTTTAAATTTTTTATTTATTTATGATAGTCACAGAGAGAGAGAGGCAGAGACACAGGCAGAGAGAGAAGCAGGCTCCATGCACCGGGAGCCCGATGTGGGATTCGATCCCGGGTCTCCAGGATCGCGCCCTGGGCCAAGGGCAGGCGCCAAACCGCTGCGCCACCCAGGGATCCCTGAAATTATTTTTTTAAAGATTAATTTTATCCCATCCTTTCAAAATGATCTTTTTTGTATATGTTTTATAGTGTACCTAATAGGCTAATAATACACAGCATATTTAATTTTCTTTAATAAATAATATGACAAAAGAATCTGGAGGCCTATCCACTAATAAACAGCCCCGTCAGTGTCGTGAAATACAACCAATCTGCTCAGCATTCTTCCTCCATGAGGGCGAAACAGTGGGGGCATGAGGAACAAGACTGCCTTCCCCTAGAGGTCAATCACTTCAGAGCAAATATCAGATCCCCCTGCACTTTTTAAAAATAACTTATGTCAGTTTGAATTTTCATTCATTTAGACAACCATTTATTTACCGAGGGAACTACTATATCCCTAACACCTAGTAGAATCTCTGATAGGATTAATAATAATAGACAACGTTATTTGAATATTTGCTGTGTGTATTAACTCATTTTATATTCACAAACTTCCTATGAGTCTGGTTTTATAATTATTCACATTTTAAAGATGAAAAAAATGTGGCAGAGAGAAGTGAAGTAATGAGCCCAAAGGTCACTTGTAGCCAATTTGTACAAGATCTGGATCCAGGCAATCTGACTCTAGAGCTTTCATCTTTGCTTGTATAATAATGTTACTCAGCAGATGATTCATACTTACTGAATAAAGGAAAGAATAAAACTTATTCAAACTGAAAAATTATTTAAATGCCTCATATCATAAATGAAATGTAAGCTTGACTGAGAATCTCACCCTTCCTTTCCTTGAAAATGTGGCATCTTTTCTTCTATCTCATTTTTAATATTGACACATTTTACAATTTCATCTGATCTTTTTTCTAGTGATCTCCATCTTTGATTTCTCTTCTGTAATAGGTAAAAATTGGTGTTACTTTGCAAATCACGGAAATTTTAATTTCGTGCATTAAAATCAGTTGCAAATCAACAACATAGTGCAAATAACAAAGACTCATTTGAAAATATACCTTTTTCAATATTAAAAATTTACAAGTTATTAGTGAGTCTAATATACGATTGCACAGCTACTGTAACTTTACTTTTAAGGTAAAAATGTTAATCAACAATGGTAATTGTGGATGTTTCATCTTGTGTAATAAATAGATAGTATCTCAGCAACAGGAGATACTAACTTCTAAGTATACAGTTCAAATGATTGTAATAAAATTTCATTGTTGTTGATGTCAGAAATTTTAAAACCACAAGTGGTTGTCAATAAGTTATATCAATTTGAAACACTGAGGTTTTTTTTTTTCTTTGGATGACTTTTCCAGCTTAGTGGCTATAATTCCTGATTTATGTATAATATCACCAGATTTTGTTACTGTGTTAGTTTTATAACCTACCAATGTGAGAACTGGTTGCCTTGTACATTCCTATGGAAAAGAATTCTTGTAAAAATATGGTCTTAGGTTTTTATTAAAAAAACAATCAGCTCTACTGAAAGTGTTACCTATTCTTAGATTGATTTTACTTAGATTTCCGACAGCACAAACACAAGCGCCATATAAAATTCAAGATGGATACGGTACCTCACGAAATGCAAATGGGTGAGAAAGGTGGCAGCAGCCATTAAAACATTCCTGGCATAAGTGATACTCTATGCATCTGGTACACCTACAAACACAGAAGACCAAGACATAGACAAGAAAAAGAATCCAGTCATTTTGGTGGTTTTGGTGAACAATTCCTGCCAGAATTTCCTGGGAACTAGGCAAATAGGACAAGGCCCATTTTATCTCACCCATCTTGGCTTCCTACTGCTACAGTAACAAATCATAACACATTTAGCAGCTTAAACAACTTTATTATCTTAGAGTTGTAGGATAAAAGTCTAACACGGGTCTCAAGGGGCTAAAATCCAGGGGTCTGCAGGATTGTATTCATTTCTGGAGGCTCTAGAGGGGATCCGTTCCCTCGCCTTTTCCATGTTCTAGAGGCCATCTACCTTCCTGGGCTCAGCTCGTGGCCTTTTCCTCCATCTTCAAAGCAAGGAATGCTTGGTCTCGGGCCTTTCTTCCAAAGTCACATTTCCCTCTGACTCTCTTTCTGCCTCCTTTCCACGTTTAAGAACCCTTGTGATTACACGGGGCCCAGATAATCAAGAATAATCCCTTTATTTCAAGGTCAAGTGTTTAGCAACCTTATTTGCACCTGCAATCTTAGTTTCTCTATGACACGTAACCTAATATATAGGTTCTGAGGATAAGAATGCAGACGACATATTTGGGAGGGCATTATTTTGCCTACCATGCATCCCCTTTGGGATGTGTTCCCCCTATTACCTCAGCTTTCCTTTTATTTCTTTCTCTAAATTCCTGTAGGATTTGTAACCTATTAGATATTGTATCATTTGATTATCCAGTGTTTTCCAATTGTTTCATGGATGCAAGAATTATACTTAGCAGAATACTTCTTGAAAACAGGAATTAAATTCCCTCTCTTTGTTCACAACATGTAAAAAAGGTGTATGTATAAAAAGTTCTTAAGCTGATAAACAGAAACGTCACTTTCCACAAAAGCTCTATCTAGAACTTACATTTATAAATATTTTGCAACAAGCAGATAATTTTAATTTACTTGCAGCAATATTCATGAGACAAATCATATTCTGAACAGTAATCAAATGAGCTTATTTTCTTACTCAAGTTATCAGAGATTTAGAAAACTATTGCCATGAGAAATTTGGGAAAATATATCCTTCAGATATCTTACAGGCACAAGCACGAATTTATTTATTATTACTATTTATATGTCCATGAAAGTTCTTAGAAATCCTCATCAATTGATCATAGCAGTGGTGCAGTTTATTTGATACACCAAATTTTGCTAGGCAAGAAAAAAAATTAAGTGTGTCTATATTTTATATATATATATATATATATATATATATATATATATAGTGAAATTAGCTACTTAAAAGATAACTAGCTCTATTGTGAAACTCTAATGAAGAAGGAACTGAAAAGCTTTCTAGTTTGTCTCCTACTCAATCCATTCCTAAAACTACTAGGAATAGTTTTTCAGTCTAATGACTAAATGTCAGTATTTGAGGGAATGCAATGAGGGTGAAGTCACAGATGTTGAAATACACTCTTTAATTTGTAAAAAAGACTGATATAGAGGTAAATAATTGTGAGCTAAACTTAGAGAGGAGAAGTTATTCTCAAAGGAGGGTGTAGAGCAGTGGGCAGAGAGCAAAACAGTGGAGAAAGCCTGAGTTTGGAACGATTCTCCCCAGAATGTGCCACTTGGCATGTGGATTATTTTGAGCTGAAGTAATCAAGGCCCAAAAGACTCAGGAGGAGCTTTTTTGCCTCCCCTTCAACTGCTAAATGAATTTAGCAGAAAGAGAGCTTTCAGTAGAGAGAACTGCAAAGTGTGTGCTCGCTGTAGAAAGCTGGAGGGAGCTCAGCAGGACCTGTTTGTTCAAATTCCCCTGTGTTCCATTGTTTCTGCATGGCAGACATTGGCTCTTTCCATCTTCCCATAGTCTTCTTTCCCTTTGAAGCCTCAGACCTCTATCCCCTTCTAGCTCCGGATGGCTTATAAGCCTAAACTGAACCTCTCCTGTCAATGGGAGGCTCCCACAGGAACAAATTTAATTTTTTTCTGCTATTAATCTGTTTTATGTCAGTTACAGTAACAGACTAACAAGAAGAGCCTAGAAAGTTACAGAAAAATTTTTCTTCCTGAGCAAGAGGTAGTAAGAAGAATCATCCACTAAGACACAAAGGGCAGTCAGAAAGCTCAGAGTGATGGTGGAGTGCACTGCCATCAACAAAAGACTTAAAAGAAACTTGAAATAATCTACTAAAGCCACACACTGATCATTTGAGGAATAGGCAACAATGAGGACGAAATTTGCACCATTTGGAGAAATTTGCACCATGGCCACTTCTTGCCCTTATCCCCCACAGCTGTTCCTCCCAATCCCTCTTCCACATGTTATCTTAGCTCCTTACTGTTGGAATCCATATCTCTTAAAAACAATGGCTGCTAAAACTGAAGATCAAGTCCTTTCTTTGTCAAGAACTCTATTTAACCAACATTCCTGACTTCAGCTGAACATCTGCCAAACCTCTACAAAATTCTTCCTTTCTTCCTCAATTTAAAATGCTCCTTTGCACTCATTTTCCAATAAAGACTTTTACTTATAGTGGTCCAGCTGACTTTATCCCACATGACACATAGAGAAAACAGAGAACTAAAACACTTCAGAGCAGAAGAGTTATCATTTGCTGATGAGAGTGATAAAAACAGCTTTTTGGTTTTATGAGAGGGTTCTAAAAAAATATATTATTGGGCTCATCTTAATGTATTTTTCTAGGAAGACTGAAAAAAAAAAGAATATGTTTTCTTAACATACAGTTAAGCTAAAATTTTAATTAAAATGCAATCTCCCAAGCATAGCAATTAATTGCTGTTTTAGTATGGCAACTGGGGGAAAGTTTGGGGATTACTTTAAAAAGTAACAAAAATTGTTTTCTCTAATATTTATCTTATTGTTGTTGAGGCATAGGATTAAAGAAAAAAGCATGAACTCATTGCAGTTTTGAGTTTGTGAAACTTGATTAAATATTCAGTCCATCTAGTCAATATCCCTCCAGTTCAATCCAGCTTTTGGCAGTTGATGGTTCAAAGAAAGTCATAGAAGTTGAGAGGTCTGGAAGTTGAGGCTTCTGAATTTGGAAACTCATTTAGGCCACAGCAACAGGCCTGTGTCCAGAGCTTCCAGGGCAGGATGCTACTTCAGACTCTCAATCTACGCTGGAGTACAAAGCCAATGTCTTTGGGTAAGCGAAGAAACAAAACAATCAGAATTTTGGAGGTACTGGGCTGACATAAATCACCAGTTTGGAAATCCTAAATAAGTAACCATCATGTAAGGCAAACATACTATATATATACACACACACTGAAGGAAAGAGGCCGTCTCAATGACTAATACCCTGGTGCTCCAAGTTTCCTAAAGTTAAAAAAAGGTCAGAATACATGTTTATAATTTTACTGATGACACTTACTTGTAACATTTCCCCTCAATTGGAAATTGTTTACAGTTATTACAGGGAATTCCAAGGTGTTTATCCAGTCGCTCTCTTTCAGCTGCAGTCACAAGGTTGCTAGAGTTTTTGAATTCTTCTAAAACAAGTTTTAATGGTGCAAACTCTTTCCTACACAGAGGACATTTCAACATGGAAGTATCTGAAATTGGATCCTGATAGTTAGCCAGGATCTTCATGCATTTTATATGGATGCTATTGCCACAGCCAAACCTGTCAGAAATAGAATTTGAATTTACCATTTGTATACATCAAAGTTATATATATATATATATATATATATATATATATATATATATATTTACATAAGTAAAACTTTCAGTGCTATCATTATTTCCCATAAAAATAGATTCTGAACCGATTTTCCAAATAAAGCTTGATTATACACATAACCACTATCTTATCTACCTACCCAATCTATCATCTTTAATTTAATGCATTAGGATTCCTAACAAACTCTCCCCCATTCTGATGAAATGGTGGTAAACAATTCTGCATCATCAAAATATTTGTCATTTTTTTTAAGATTTTATTCTTTAAGTAATCTCTACACCCATTGCAGGGCTTGGACCCACAACTCTAAGATCAAAAATTGCATGCTCCATTGACTGAACCAGCCAGGCACCCCAATATTTTTCATTTTTAAAGTGACAACAAATATAATCTTAACAAAAGGAAAATTATAGCAATAATTATTGTTTTTTTAAATAAAAAGCATCATTGAGATTGGGGTATTACCTTATTTTCCTAGAAATCACACAGTATGTAGTAGTACCTGACAAATATCTACTGAGAGAAATAATATTTTGGAAAATAGTCAGCAACTTAAAAATATGCAGTAGAAGCAGCCATGTGAAAAACTACATGAATGAAAATTTTGACAAATAATCAGGAGTAAGAAAATGAAAAGTTCAATAGTAAATAGTTACCCAAATATCCAAGTCCAACTTTATAGTGCCTCAAAGAATAGTATGAATATGACACTCTTAACAAATGTTTGTATAGGTAAAAATTTCAATTATTTATATTTAAAGATAGAATTTTGAGAAACCGAAAAGAATTTTTATAATATTAAAGTACTGTCTTTACTAACAGAAAACTCTTTGTAACTGGTCTAAGCCATGACATTTATTCATGTGTATAAAACAAAAATGTGAAAATTATCCTACTTTAATAACTTAAGGTAGAGAGAGGAGTGCAGTGGAGTTAGGCTTTAATTTTCACCCTTTATAATGTAGCCCAGAAATGTTTCAAGTAAGAACAGGACCTTCTACAATGGCTATGTTAGGAAACAAAAGAAGGACAATTAAATAATAAGCAATAGGTAAAGCTTTCTTTTGTTTATCAACATGTCTTAGAAGAATCAATTACAAACTTATTGAATTAGAATTTTTTTCATAAGCTTCAAATATCCAAAGGAAAAACATGTAGAAGGTTGAGAAGATGGCAAAATAGAATCTTGAGCTCACCTTGCCCTGACTAACAGACACTCACAGACACAAGAGCCACCTAAGTGCAGTTAACTGTCACCTGGAACATGGGCAGAACGGGCTTTTCACAGTTAATTGCGGAGGGAATTTAACATCGAAAAGTGTAAGAGGAGCAGAGATAGGCTCAGGAACTAAACCCCTGGGGAGACTAACTACAAATACGAGGGACACCACAAGCATGGACAACTGGCAGGATGGGCCCCCACCCTAGGCACCCAAGGCACAGGGAACCTGTGGGGAAGAGGAGTCCCCACAATTGGCTTTGAAAACCAGTAGGGCTTACCAGTTTTTACATCAGCGGGGCTTAGCTCCAGGAGAGCAACAGGGTGATAGGAAACTGACCCTCCACCCTTAAAGAGCCAGCATAACAAAAACCCAGCCTCCGCCAAAATACAGCAAAAAAGCAGCAGTTTGAAAAGCACCGGGTTATCATGAAGGAGATTGATTTACTAATTTCAGAATGTGCCTCAGAGGAGTAAGGATCACTAGGAGACTTCTCCAAGAACAAAAGAGCTAGTGGGCACCATTTCTATCTTCCCCCATCCCAGAGGCTAGATAGCTGGATGCCTGCAGGAACCAGCATACACACTCTCCACCTATTTTGCTATCACAGTGCTTCCTGCCCCCACATTATCCTGTGGAATCAGACCAACCAACTTGCCCCACTTAGCAGGTGTCCCACCAAAGTAGCTCCTGGTCTAACACACTCTGCAAGCAGTCCCAGCAGGGACCAGCACCATTGCAAAGTGATGCCTACCCTGGGGAGAGAGGCAGCTAACTACACACACCAGTGTACCCACAGTCTCAGCAGCCAAACCTTACAGCAGGCAGCTTAGACACCACCCTGCCAGTCAGTGCAACTGCAGTGCTGGCTCGCAGACTGGGGGCAGGCATGAGGTCTGACTTCTGGCCCCATCCACCCATGAAAGTCTTTCAAGTGACAACACAGGAGAGTGCCCTGAGTTCAGTGTGACTGCAGTCCCAACAGATAGGATGAGGGCAGGCATCCAGTGTGACCACTAATACTTCCCAACTACAAGCCTAGTAGTGCTTTTAGATGGGTTCAAACTTAAGTGACCAACTTATATATACTTTTATTTTTTTAAGATTTTTAAAAATTTATTCATGAGACAGAGAGAGAGACAGAGACAGAGAGAGACAGAAAGAGACAGAGGCAGAGACACAGGCAGAGGGAGAAGCAGGCTCCATGCAGGGAGCCCAATGTGGGACTGGATCCCAGGACCCTGGGATCATGCCCTGAGCTGAAGGCAGACGTTCAACTGTTGAGCCACCCAGGAAGCCCTAATATATACTTTTATATAGACTTTAAAAAAATATTATTTATTTACTTATTTTATTTATGAGAGAGAGTGCATGAGTGAGGGTGAGTGAGATAGCATGATTGGGGCAGAGGCAGAGGGAGAGGAAGAGGCAAATTCCCCCCTGAGCAGCAAACCCAAAGAGGGGGTCCATCCCAGGACCCTGGGATCATGACCTGAGTTGAAGGCAGACACTTAACCGACTGAGCCACCCAGGTGCCCGTTATATAGACTTTTATATGCATGATGTTATATATGAACCTAATAGCAATCATACATTTAAAAAAAGCTATTAAATTATATAAAAAAAATAAAGAGAAAGGAATCCAAGCATGACACAAAAGGAAGCCATCAAACCACACCAGAAGAGAGCAAGAGAAGGAAGGAATGGAGAAGAACTACAAAAACAAGCATAAAACAAGTAACAAAATTACAATGAGTACCTAAATATCAATAATTACTTTAAATGTAAATGAACTAAATGTTCCAATCAAAAGGCAGGGTGAGTGGATTGATAAAAAATACCAACTCATCTATATGCCACCTTCAAGGGACTCACCTCAGACTTAAAGACATATGGAGATTGAAAATGAAGAGACGGAAAACCACTTACCATGCAAATGAAAGTGAAAAGAAAGTCAGAGTAGCCATACTTACATTGGACAAAATGGGCTTTAAAACAACGACTGTAACAAGAGAAAAACAAGGACATTACATATATATATAGGGAACAATTCAACAAGAGGATATAACAGCTGTAAATGTTTGTGTACTCACATGTGAGCACCTAACTACATAGAGGAACTATTAACAGACATAAAAGAAGAAATTGACAGTAATACAATAATAGTAGAGGATATTAATATCCCATTTACATCAATGGATGAATCAGCCAGATGGAAAATCAACAAGGAAATAGTGGCTTTCAACAACACGTTGGGTCAGATGGACTTAATAGATACTCAGAACATTCCATCCCAAAACAGTAGAATATACAATCTTTTCAAGTACACATGGAATAATCTCCAGAATAGATTGCATGTTAGGCCACAAACACGTCTCAATAAATTCAAAAAGATTGGAATCATATCATGCATGTTTTCTGACCATAACGGTATGAAATTAGAAATCAAACAGAAGAAAAAAAATCAGAAAAAAAACACAAATAAATGGAGGCTAAATAACATGCTACTAAACAATGGGTGGGTTAATCAAAATATAAAAGAAGAAATAAAAAATGTGTGAAGACAAATGAAAATGAAATCACAATGGTCTAAAATCTTTGGGATGCAGCAAAAGCTGATCAAAGAGGGAAATTTATAGCAATACAGACATACCTCAAGAAGCAAGGAAGAAAAAAAAAAGAAGCAAGGAAGATCTCTAACAAACAACATAACCTTATAGCTAAAGGGGCTAGAAAAAGAACAAAACCCAAATCTAGTAAAGGGAAGGAAATAATAAAGATTTAAAGAAGAAATAAATGGAAAAGATACAAAAAACCCCCTCCTCAGACATTATAATAGATCAATGAAACCAGGAGCTGGTTATTTGAAAGGATCAATAAAATTGATAAACTTTTCACCAGACTCATCAAGAAAAAGTGAGAGAGGCCTCGAATATATAAAATCAGAAATGGAGAAGGAAAAATAACAACCAATGCCACAGAAACACAAAGAATTAAAAGATAATATTATGAAAAATTGTATACCAACAAATTGGGCAATGTAGAAGAAATGGATAAATTCCTAGAAACATAACACTTTCCCAAACTGAATCTACTTCCAATAAGAAATAGAAAATTTGAACAGACCAATGAGTAGCAAGGAAATTGAATCAGTAATGAAAAAACTCCCAACAAAAGTCCAGGACCAGATGGCTTCACAGGTGAATTCTACCAAATAATTAAAGAATATCTATTCTTCTCAAATTATTCCAAAAGAGAGAAGAGGAAGGGAAGCTTCCAAATTCATTCTACTAGGCCAGCATTATCCTGGGACCAAAACCAGATAAAGATACTACAAAACAAAATGTATAGGCCAATCTTTCTGATGAACATAGATGTAAAAATTCTCATCAAAATATTAGCAAACCTGGGACGCCTGGGTGGCTCAGTGGTTGAGCGTCTGCCTTTGGCTCAAGGAGTGACCCCAGGGTCCTGGGATCGAGTCCCACATCGGGCTCCCTGCATGGAGCCTGGTTCCCCCCTGCCTGTGTCTCTGCCTCTCTCTCTGTGCCTCTCATGAATAAATAAATAGTATCTTTTAAAAATAATTAGCAAACCAAATCAAACAATACATTAAAAAATGACTCACCATGAACAAATGGGATTGATTCCAGGGATATAAGTGTGGTTCAATATTCATAAATCAATCAACAAGACGTATCAGATTAGCAAGAGTTAGGACCAAAGAAAGTGATCTCAATAGATGCAGGAAAAGCATTTGACAAAGTACAACATCGATTCATGATAAAAACTCTCAACAGAATAGGTTTAGAGGGAATAATTTCTCAATATGCTAAAGGCCATATATGAAAAACTCACACTAAAATCATACTCAATAGTGAAAAACTAAACGCTTTTCCTCTAAGATCAGGAACAAGACAAGAATGTCCACTCTCACCAATTTTATTCAACACATTACTGAGAGTCCTCGCCTCAGCCGTCAGACTAAAAATAAATACACGACGTTCAAGTGGGTAAGGAGGAAATAGTACATTCAGTATTTGCAGATGACATAATACTATACATAGAGAACCTTACAGACTCCAGCAAAGAATACTAGAGCTAATAAATAAATTCAGTAAGGTCACGGGATACAAGATCAACATATGGAAATCTGCTGCATTTCTCTACACTGATAACGAAGTAGCAGACAGAGAAATTAAGAAAACAGTCCCATTTAGAATGGCATCAAAAAGAACAAAATACTTAGGAATAAATTTAACCAAGGAGGTGAAAGACTTGTACTCTGAAAACTATAAAACCCTGATGAAAGAAATTGAAGATGGCACGACAAGTGGAAAGAGAGTCCGTGTTCTAGGATTGAAAAAAATCAATACTGTTAAAACGTCCAGACGACTCCAAGCAACCTACAGAGTGAATATAATTTCTATCAGAATACAAGCAACGTTTTTCACAGAACTAGAACAAATAATCCTAAAATTTGTATGGAACCACAAAATATCCTAAATAGCCAAAGCAAACTTGAGAAAGTAAGACAGAGCTGGGAGTATCACAATTGCAAATCTGAAGATACACACTAAAGCTGTAGTAATCCGCACAGTGCGGCACTGGCACAGAAACAGACACACAGATCAGCAGAACAGAAGAGAGGGCCCAGAGAGAAACCCATACACAGATGACCGATTAATCTACGACAAAAGAGGCAACAATAGACAACGAGGAAAAGACCGTTTTTCAATGAATGGTGCCGGGAAAACTAGACGGCTATAGGCAGGAGAATGAAACTGGACCCCTTTCTTACAAAAATCAACTCAAAATGGATTAAAGGCCTAAATGTGAGATCTTGAAACCATAAAAATCCCCAAAGAAACACAGACAGTAATTTCTTTGACATCATCCATAGAACCATTTTTCTAGATTTGTCTCCTCAGCCAAGGGAAGCAAAAGCAAAATTAAGCTATTGAGGTTACCTAAAAATTAAACGCTTTTTGCACAGCAGAGGAAACAATTAACAAAACCGAAAGGCGCCCTACGGAAGGGGAGAAGATATCTGCAAGGGCTTTATCTGATAAGGGTTAATATCCAAAATATATAAAGAACTTATGCAATTCAACACCAAAAAGCCCCCAAATAATCTGATTAAAAATGGTCAGAGGATCTGAATAGACATTTTTCCAAAGCAGTCACACACATGGGTGACAGACACACAGGGACAGGGAGATGGTCAAGATCAGAAATCGTCAGGGTTGCTGTCAGAAGGGACGTGAGCGGCGGAACGGGGGAAATAGGGTTAGGAGTACACTTACCTTGATGAGCACTAAGTAATGTACAGAATTACTGAATCGTTACATTGTATACCTGAAACCAATATAAACGCAGTATTTTAATTATACTTCAATAAAATAGAGAAAGAAAGAAACATGTCACCTGCAAAATGTGACAGGAAGCTTTTTCTCTAAAAGTAACTCTTGACAAATAGAGCAGATATCATCTGAGCCAATTTCCTTCTGTTTGATGTACCCGTCTTCCTCAATGTGCACAGCTTCGCCATTTGTTCTTTTTTGGGGAGTTTGAACTCGATGTATTCCTTGGAGCAAGTCACTGATTTCTCTCTCCACGAGACCTAACCGCAAAGCAGCTAGTGAAAAATTCCAAAGTATTAAAATTCGGTGGCGAAACTGGAGATACAGAAATGTAACAAATTATGCTGAAAGTTAGAACTTTTTGTCCAAATATCAGAAAGACAGTTGTGATTGAATTTTTATACCTACATTTACCACTTTTTGTATTTATTCTGAACCAAAAGGGCAGGAAAGAGTCATTTGTAAGAAGAATGAAAGTTATCTTTTTTTTCCCCTTGTGACTGGAAAGAGTGCAAATATAGGGTTATAAAGGTTTTACACTGATTACATGATCGTGTTCCTCCTTGGATCGGTGTCATGATCTTACAATCTGACCTGTTCAACTTCTCCATAAACAAATACTTACAACATAGAATTAAAAACAAAACAAAACAAACAAACAAAAACAAAAACAAAAACAGGCACAAATGCAGAAAGGGGAAACAGGGATATTTGGGAAGTCAGTACAATTAGTATCTGCTGGATGAGTAAAGAATAGATGGATAATGGGAGAGCAAGACTCAGCTGGTGGTGCCGACTCTCCCGTCCTGGTTTAAGAGGGGAGAGGGTCTGTCAGAGGATCTTGGTAGCCACATCTTTCACAGATTGGGTCAGTATTCCTCAGGACAATCTATTATGAACTATGTTGCTTATAACCTGGGGATATGCATCCTTTGAGTTATGAATTTTCTCCATCTTGCTGTCCTTATAGGAAATTATTTTCTAATAATACATATGGTTTTGACCAGGGCATCTTAGATTCTTCATTCCCTGGCCCATCCCAGGCTCTTTTCCTTTTCTCTCTCCGTAACATGCCATAATTTAAATGCCGTCTGTTTTTGGTACCCTGAATTTTACTCCTGTTATACACCCTGTATTATATCTAGAACATCCTTTAATAAATTTTTAAAACATTCACAAGGTCATGAAAAGCTTCATTTTTCTGGAAAGACTCCTGATTAGACACTAAAAATACTGAAAACACCATAGATACGTTTCAGTACAGAAATCTCTGTTCTTTGCATGCGGTGGGGTGGCAGGTGGAATGTAAGAGGGTAACATACTGTAATTAACCATTACGTTGGGGGATGATGGCTATTTGTCACAGACAGAGCAATATCTGCTCTCTACAAAAAAAAAAAAAACATGGGGAGGAAAAAGAACAAAAATTGTGCTTTTGGGAATAGAGATTTTCTAGGGCAGCAGAATTACTGAATATAGGAGTTCATAAAAGGAGCTGGCCAGAAGCTGTCCTATGTGGTGTAATACGAATTGGAAGATACAAGGGAGAAACAAACTCTTCGGAGATCAATTTGGAAAAATCAATGTATGAGACTAGGAAAGAACATTCCTTTATAAAGAAGAGCAAGACAGCTAACCTTATGGAAGATGTTCAATTTCATTAAACATCAAAGACAAGTGAGTTGAAATAAGAATGAGGCACAGACACAGAATGAATATTGCTACTGAATAAGTAATGACAAATAAATGAAATGTTATGTTTCTCATATTTAGAAAAGTCATATGACGGCATTCTAGATCTTCTAAGGGTGTGTTAGATACAAGGGAGAATGGAAACTATTTTCTTATGCAAATTTACCGATTATCATGGACCTTCTATCTGGCATTTTTTCGTGTTTTGTAAGCTAGCCTCTTTTTTTGTTTCTAAAACTATGGAAATATTATTAATGTTTCAGAGTATTTCTGTGTATTTTTAAGTTATTTTCTTTGGGGACTTAAGTGTTCTTTTCATGCCTTTCACACTATGGTTAAGTAATAATATGTACCTAACACATGAATTCCAAAGCAAAACTAGCAGAAAATTGATACACTGCTCAAATTGCAAATTACTAAAAGTATTTTAAAGATCGATTTGGCAATACATATGGGCGGCAGACTTAAAAATATCAATACTTCTACTCTAAAACCCAATTCATGAGATTTTGGGCTAAAGAAATAATTGAAGGAAGAGACAGCTTCATGTACCAGGAATATAACAGTAGTTAGAAATAAACTAAATTACTAGCGGTAGAAGAATGTTAGCTAATTATGATTTACTATATTCTGTGGAATAATGTTAGCCATCGATGACTTTAATTACATAGATTACACAGCATTGAAAATGTTTACAAAGTAACAGTGTTTGATAAAAAAGCAGAAGTCAAGGTGCCCGTGGAGTATTGGGTTTGCATAAATATAAACTCAAAAAGGAAATAAGAAAGCATAAAAGTTTATGGTATCTTTGCAGTGGGAATTTAAAAAAATTCCCTTAAATGTGGTTTTTACTTTATCTAAATATTTTATTAAAAAAGGAACAGATGGTATTTACTAGACAAGAAATAAAGGAAAGTGAGAAGAGAGGAGCTCAAAAAGTCTGGTTTATATGTTGCATTCTGTCTGCTGTTAGCAGTGGACCTTTCAGAATTCCCCTTATAAAGGGGAGAGGGGAGCTGGATAAACTAAAAGTCTTTCTATGCCAACATTTATAAAATGAAGAGGAGGAGAAGTTTCTGGCTCTTAGTTATTTGTCCCTCAGCTCTCTGTTAAAAAGTAAACTATCAAAAAGCAGACATTGTATTTAGAAGGAACTAGTAGGTTGATAAATGTAGGTTTTCCTTAAAAACATTTGTTGGGTGATAAGAAAAAAGAAATGTCCAATGCTCAAAACCTGGTATCTTTGTAATACAATTCCTGCATAATCATCTTTGTAAGTCTTCAAAAATAAGTCATATTTTTGATACGCAACACTAGGGTCCAAATATTTGTTTTCTGATGTGTTTTAGAAGAATCTGGGAATGATATTCAAAACACTCTTCCCAAACGAAACAAAACAAAACAAAACAGAACAATCTTCCCTCATCACTAGTAACCATCTCCTCCATTATGTACATACATCACATAATCCTAATGAATAACTGTTTATAGCTTTCTTTAAATTTTCATGGATGTTTGTTCTAGCTTTCATTTACATGATAAATTTTAAGGTGTGCAAATAGGATTTTCTCAAAGTTGACTAAAACTTCTTTAAAATATAGGAGACATGGAAGATCTTTTATTTTAGTAGGAAGCATCATTTTTCAAAATGAATATAAAGGATTGAACATTAAAAAAAATTCCCTACTATGATAGACTCATATTTATGGAACAAAACATGGTTTCTGTCCTCAAGAAGTACAAAGGGTAACACAATGTTAAATATTATGTTGATCCATATCAAATTGCTAGTTTTTGTAAATAGTAACACCCAGAAATGTTAGTATTCATAGGTTTTGATTTATATAAAGGACCAAACAGAGGCTCTTGGTTAATGCACAGTACAGTGAATATTCATCGACTTTGGTGGTACAGAGGGGCACTGTCTAACTGGCCAACCACCAGCCACATGTGGCTACTGAGCACTTGACATGTGGCTCACGTGGCTGAAAAACTAAATTTTTAATTTTGCTTCATTAAATTGAAACTGACAACTGATAACAGTCACTAAAAAATTTATACTTGCAACAATTTGGGTGTCATATGAATCTTTTCACCAACTGATTATTTTTTGAAATCTAAGTGCAGATTGAATATTTCCAATGAAAATGTAGCGTCTGAGATGAGATGCTCTGTAAGTATAAAATACCTGCTAGACTTTGAGGACAGCCTACAAAATACTGCATAATTTTTATATTCATCACCTCTTGATGTGATAATGTTCTGATGTATTGAATTAAATTAACATATATGATTGAAATTAAATTTCCCTTTTTCTTGCTATTTTTTTTTGTTAATGCAGCTGCTAGGAAATTACATATGTGGCTTGCATGATGTTTCTGTTGGACAGCACTAGCATAGACGCTTGCGGAAATGATTTGTACAACAGTGGGGAGAACAAATAAGACTTGGAGAGGATGTAAACATTTAACTTCAGGTGGATAAAATGAAGAAATAGAGAAGAAAACAATATGTATATACCATAGAACCTAATCATGGTGTATGAAGGGGTTGGGAGAGAGGATGAAGTAGAGAATGAAGGGACACTTCAGAAAGAACCTTTTGTCTACAATGTGAAGGAGGAAGCCCTGAAGTGCAGGCCCTGAAGAGGAGGAGGCTGCTAGCAGCACTATGAAGAGCTCCTGAGGGTTGGAGAAAAGCAAGAAAGAGGATGGAGAGATGAGAGCCCCGTGGGGAAGAAGGCGAGATACAACGTGAACGGGATTCGTGGCACGACCAGAGATACAAAGGAAGAAACTGGGGCAGGAAAAGTCCCCTCCTTTCTGGTTTTGGAGACTAAAGAAGCAGCAAAGCCAATACATGGGGTAGGGAGTACAAGATGGGAGCACAAATGGGAAGAAATTTGATATTTAAATATCAACCTTTAGAACCTTTAAAATGGATCTGCCCCGAAGGCAGCTGGAAATACCTCTCGGTTGATAAGATGCTGAAATCACTGGTACAAAGGAAACAGCAGATGTGGAAAATGGGAGACATTCCTCAGAAAGTGTGTCAAGTGAGAGAAGAGTAAAAATAAAGTTCTGTGAAACACTGACATTAATTTATTATCTAGTACAACTTTTAAAGGTTTATTGTAATTATTCTTATATGATAGTTGAGGGGAATTGAACTTGGCTAAATAAAACCAATACTCTTAGAACTAAAAAAAAATTGAACACTTATTATCATTTTAATCTTTATGAATATCATAAACATTTGTTGATAAATTTTAAAATGTCATTGCAATTTTTAGATGGGTTTATTGTAGGCCAAATAACCACATGACTAGAGGAACCCTTCCATCGTGACAATATCTTTTTTTATAAAATCTGCAAATCCAGATGACCTGCAACAAAATTATTTTTCTCTTTTAATTTTGATAGACCCCAGAACTTAAAGTCACACAGCTATATGCCTGACTCTAAACTCAATTTAAGTACTGTCATAAAAATATTTTATCCTTAAAATATGTATACCTATATATTTTTAAAAAGATTTACATATATATATTTGCATACAAGTTTCAGTCAGTAGACATTTTTTTAATGAAATTATGTGCCATGTCAACTGTCTATTGATGGGACCTAAAAAAATACATTTCTTATTTTTCCTGTAATTAAAATAATTTAAAATATAGAAACCACTGTGAATCTTTGCTTAGAACGCATGAGGGAAATTTTGCCTTCTGAATAGTCATTGTTTCACCCTTTTTAAAAGTCCTACTGAATTTGAAATGATAAAGTTAACATTTGTTTGTTAAGGAAGAAAATTGTTCCAAGTCTTAAATGTAACAAATTGAGCTATAGATAGTTTGTCAGATTGTTTAGGAAAATAATTTTTAAATTTAGAATATGTCCAAACAAAAAATTACTAACAATGTTAACTTCAAAATAATAAAAGAAAAAAACACAACTTACATTCATGATTCCTTGGAAGCTTGAATTTTTTCAACAAGACCCTAATATTCACAGGCAAAAAACAAACAAACAAAAACATTTATTTCTGACAGAACCTAAAAAGATGTATTTTGTTTTAATTTTAGGATAGGGACAGCATTATAGAATTTATATTGCTGACAGTGTTATAAATAAACTTAACACTTACCGATTTTGTTATGATAGTAGGCAAATATGTTAACTATACTGAAATTAAAATAAAAAACTCAGACAAAAATAATAGTTAAATATGTGTTTTAAAGTAAGCATTGTGAAAAAAGTGTGATGAATGAACATAAAAAACATTTATAATAAAGAGATTTGCCAGTCAGTCCATGTATTTCTTTAGGAAATACAGATGTTCACAGAGTTAGGCTAGTGAGGGAATTGAGGTATTCATAGTACTTCCTTTCAACTTCCCTAGAAGTTTCTTATGCCCGAAAATGGAGTAATTTTCTGGAGAGTACCAAGTGACTGCTTTCCTACATATAGCACTTTAACATATGACAAAAAAAATACTTAAAATATCACCAATTAAAATGGACTATGGCTTTTTTTTAAAGTGAGAAATACATTTAAAATTATTAAATATATTAAATATATTTAGTATATTAAGGACTTGAATTATATTTCCATTTAGTTTGATTAATGTATTATAAAAAATGAGTTACATTATAAAAAAGGGGAACAGAAGGTCTTTGCCCTGAGGAAGCTAGCACTAAAAAAAAAAAAAAAAAAAAAAAAAAAAAAAAAAAAGAAACAAAAGAAAAAAACACCTATTTTAAGAAATGTAATTATTTTTAATAATAAAACCAAACCGCAAGTTTTGAAAGGCTCATATTTTATATCTTCTATGCTAACTAAAGCAAATTATGTTAGCAATGCTGGATAGAAACTGATCAAACCAAAACAACAAAAACCAGGTAAATAAAAGTTTTGGAAATGACAGATACACATCTTTTTGCTTTGTTTTTTTTTTTTAACCTATAAAAAAAAGCATTCCAAATGTGGGATTCACTTTCCTCTCAATTTTTTGTTTGATTTGTTTTACTCTCAAAGATCAATCAGACTTTCTATAGAAGTATATTTCATGATTTGTTTGTGTACATATAGGTGAATAAAACAAAATGAGTTGAAAGAATGAAAAACGTGGAGAAAATTCCAAATTATTTCCAAACACTAAGTGGAAAGAGTCTTTAAATTTCCATTCCTAGGATTCCTCTACAAATAGTCTCTCAGACTAGAGGAGAAATTTCAGGTTCGTCGGAAGTAATCTTCAGTGGAGTCCTACTACCATCTTGAAAGAATCATAGTAAATGCTTATCGAAAACAAAAATAATACGTTAAAATACATCATAATGAAAAAATCAAAATGGATTTTTTGTTTTAAGTCATTTGTTGTACTGTATTTACAAAGAAAACAAACAATGCATCAGTTAGAATAAAAATTAAAATGTATGAAGGTATTTATTTTTAACTGACCGCAAATAGAAATCCTATATTCAGAACATAAGTATCAGTAGTGATGTGAATCAGGGAGGTTTTTCTTTTTTCTAGTTAGATTTCACATTTGTATGTACATAATGAGACCCTCAGAAGTGATTTTTTTTTCTTAATAAAAACATAAACATTCAAAAGTTGCAGAGGTGGTCGTATGTTTCTCAAGTTAGACCTTACTTAATTTTCAAGATGAAATAAAATACTGCAAAATATACTGAAAAACTACAGCCATTTTACCTTAATATTCTCCCAACATCAAATTTCTTTTTAATTTTTTTTTTTTTTATGATAGTCACAGAGAGAGAGAGAGAGGCAGAGACACAGGCAGAGGGAGAAGCAGGCTCCATGCACCGGAGCCCGACGTGGGATTCGATCCCGGGTCTCCAGGATCGCGCCTTGGGCCAAATGCAGGCGCCAAACCGCTGCGCCACCCAGGGATCCCCCAACGTCAAATTTCTTTAATCTGGTACTCAAATCACAAAAAAGGCAATATTGCAAGAAGTCCCCTTGAGGCCGACCTTTATAACAGTTACTTACCAGCATATATGCTTACAAAGTTCCCCTCCTTTCAGAAATGTGGAACAGTTACAAACATGAGGATTTCCTAAAAAAACCTTTAAAAGAAAAATGCATACTTAAAAAAAACCCTCTTGAGCTAATTTTTAGAGTTAGAATAAAACTAATTTAATAGATAATAGAATTAAAAGAGATTTTCAAGAGGTAATTTAGTTTAGGTGACTCCAAAAGTTGCATATAGTGTATAGTGTATGGAGACATCTTAACACCAGCCTCTTCATATTCTTTGTCCGGGTTAATGATCCACATCATCAGCTAAGACTGTTTTTAGGTGACCTACACTCACTTTTTGAAAGCTAAAAAAAAAAAAAAAAAAAAAATCTATACATTTCTTACTGAAAATTCCCTCTGCCTTGCAGGGGAGCTAAAGATCTTTCATACAGTAGCTCATCTTGGATTTTTGTTTTCCACATTTAAGTCGGCATATAATTTTACTTGAGAAGAATAATTTTACTCACCAAGTGTATATTGACTAAAACAAATTACTAACTACAGTAAGTGTTATGAAGGACAACGTAAAAGGGAAAAAAAAAAGGATATCTTAAATAAGCACAGGCTAGTAATTTGTATTCGGTGCTTAAGATGCAGGACACTGAATTAAAATTTTTCAAGTCAACACCTGGCTGACATTTGAGGGGCAAGAGTGGGATATGCAGATATAAAATATCTGTTGTCTTTCAGAAAAATTAAAAATGATTTTTATTAAGGCCTTCCCAAGGCATTGTCATCTAAACAGCACTTTCAAAGGATCTTCTTGGAGTTTTAGAGTAACTAAAGAGAAAGAAAAACCCATTTTATTTATTTAGTAAGTCACAGGTACGTGAGGACCCAAGACCGGGCCAACACAAACCCTATATTTAAATAAAACGTCTCATATTTTCAAGCCTAAAGATCAGGCGAGGGCCGTGATCTTACAAGAGTTGACGCAATTTGGAATCCTGACCTCCAAACACGAAACTTTTCGTTCCTGTCTAACACATACTATATCCCTGTGCCATCTGCGCGTGTTGAGAGGCTGGAGCTCGCAGTCGCAGGGCGTGCGTGTGGCAGCGAGAATCCGCAGGGATCCCGAGGGTGGTCGGGTCCCCTGCGGGCCCAGGACGGCCGGGGGGCAAGGGGGGCCAGGGGGGTCAGCGGGGTCAGGAAGGTCAGGAGGGTGGGGGGTAGGTCAAGAGGGCCAGGGCGGCAGGGGGGTCAGAAGGGCCAGGGGGCTCCGAGGGGTCGGGAGAATCTGGGAGCCAGGAGGGTCGGGGGGTCAGGAGGGTCGCGGGGGGCCAGGGGGACCGGAGGCGAGGAGGAGGGGTGATTACTCGGAAGTCCCCGCGCTCGGGCTCCTCCTCCCGGAGCAGGAAGCCGGTGGGGCCCATCTGCCGCAGGAGGTAGAGGCCGCCGCGCAGGGCCAGGTCCTGGCGCCCGCCCACCAGCTCCCGGGAGCGGCCCCCGCAGCCCCGCGGCCGCAGCATCCCGCCGCCCACACGGCCCCGCCCGCTGCCCGCGGCCCGCGGCCCGCGTCTCCCTGACGACCGCCCGCGGCCAGGTGAGGGCAGCCGAGTCCCCGCCCCCCCGCGTCAGGGCGCCGCACACCTGTCTCCAGGGGCCGGGACGCCAAGGCCCCCACCGCCGCCGACGCCGCCCCCTCCGCCGCCTCCCCTCCGCGGCCAACGCACCCCACCGTGTCAGGGTTCCCCCCCACACCTGTCTCTAGGGACCCGGGACGCCGCGGCCTCCCTCCTCCCCCCACCGAGGCCTCCCCCCGCCCCCACGTACTCCCCCCCGCCCCCGCCGCCAGCACCCCACCCTCGGCCTCCCCCCCGCCCCCCGCCGCCAGCACCCGACCCTCGGCCTCCCCCGCCCCCCGCGGCCTCCCCCCCCGCCCCCGCCGCCAGCACCCCTCCCTCGGCCTCCCCCTCCCCCGCGACCTCCCCCCCGCCCCCGCCGCCAGCACCCCACCCTCGGCCTCCCCCGCCCCCCGCGGCCTCCCCCCCCGCCCCCGCCGCCAGCACCCCACCCTCGGCCTCTCCCTCCCCCGCGGCCTCCCCCCTGCCCCCGCCGTCAGCACCCCTCCCTCGGCCTCTCTCTCCCCTGCGGCCTCCCCCCTGCCCCCGCCGCCAGCACCCCACCCTCGGCCTCCCCCCCCCCGCCCCCGCCGCCAGCATCGGCGTCCCCCCCCCGCCCCCGCCGCCAGCACCTCTCCCTCGGCCTCTCCCTGCCCCGCGGCCTCCCCCCTGCCCCCGCCGCCAGCACCCCACCCTCGGCCTCCCTCCCGCCCCCGCCGTCAGCACCCCTCCCTCGGCCTCCCCCCCGCCCCCGCCGTCAGCACCCCTCCCTCGGCCTCCCCCTCCCCCGTGGCCTCCCCCCCGCCCCCGCCGTCAGCACCCCTCCCTCGGCCTCCCCCCCGCCCCCGCCGTCAGCACCCCTCCCTCGGCCTCCCCCTCCCCCGTGGCCTCCCCCCCGCCCCCGCCGTCAGCACCCCTCCCTCGGCCTCCCCCTCCCCCGTGGCCTCCCCCCCGCCCCCGCCGTCAGCACCCCTCCCTCGGCCTCCCCCCCGCCCCCGCCGTCAGCACCCCTCCCTCGGCCTCCCCCTCCCCCGTGGCCTCCCCCCCGCCCCCGCCGTCAGCACCCCTCCCTCGGCCTCCCCCTCCCCCGTGGCCTCCCCCCCGCCCCCGCCGTCAGCACCCCTCCCTCGGCCTCCCCCCGCCCCCGCCGTCAGCACCCCTCCCACTGGGCCGTGCCCAGGTGCTCCCGGTGCCGCCCGCGTGCCCCTGCCCCCCGCCCCACCCCCGCAGGAGCCCAGGTCCCGGGGTCCGAGGCTGCGGCGCGAGGTGCATCTAGGCCGCGTGTCGGGGGCTGTTGGGCGTCGTGCGCACCCGGACCTCCGCTGCGGGCAACAACCTGCCCCGGACCGCGGGGCTGAGCCGGCCCAGGGCCTGTGACCGCGGCCTCGGGGACGCCTGTCGGGCGCCGCTCCGGGGCCCCCGCGGCCTTTCCGAGAAACCGAGACGGGTCACCGCCGAGCGTGGTTGGACCCCAGGGGCGCCCACATGGGGAGGCAGGGGAGGCGGGGGGGGGCGGGGGGGCGGCGGCCAACGGGGCTGCGGACCGGGCCGGCGCCTTCCGCGGGGTCCAAGGCGCCCACTTACCTGCCGGCTCCACCTTCCCGCGCCCACGACGGGCGCCGAGCGGACTAGGGCCGCGACCCGGCCACCGTGAGCTCTCCGGCACCGGGTGTTGCAGCAAAACACCGTACATCCGCGGATACCCTCATATTCAGACCCACAGAAATCATAAACTGAATTCACTTAGTTCATCCATACTTTGAATCGTAAAAAAAATCCAGATAAATGACTGACAGTCTCCACTTTTTATACCACGAGTTGGGTTTCGGAGTAAAGCATTTCACTCAACTGTCATTCCCTCTCTCTGCATATATAAAAAATATATATTCCCCTATACATTCTGTACATGTGGAGCATATATAAAGAATCAGCCTTGAAGAGGTGAACAATAGCAAATAATTGTTAGACCTGTTAACGCTCACTTACTGTCATTAGACGAGGCTTGCTCCCGGGTAAGTGCGAGGCGTCATTTCCGGGAAGGCCACATGTTTAAAGCACACGAGGCTTTATGGAAGCTAGACGCAGGCTCACAAATTCCGTTTTGGGGGATGATAAAAGTCGGAATATTCATGCGTTCACGGAGGTTAAAAAGAGAAAGCACAGACTGTTAGACAGAACTTCAGTCTAGATGTAAGACGTTTGTTTTTATGTCTGTCAGTTGAGACTTTCAGACGTTTTTATAGCCAGGTGACTGTCCCATATGTTTGCTTCATCTCTTGAGACTGTGTGACATGAGTAATATTTGCAAATACTAAATCAGGGAATTACATTTCTCCCTTCAGCTTGTTGTGCTCCCTTCCAAGTCACAGTGGGAAGCATATTGCCCCAGAGACGAGGGAGGCGGTGAGCACGGGAAAGGAGTCATTGCTAAGCCTGGAGTTTCATGAACTAAGTTGTGGTCCCTTCGGCAAGACAGTTTAGCCATAAAAGACTGGAATCAATACATTTTATCAATCAATCTTAAGTTCCTAGGTTAAGAGAGAAAAAGTGGGGCCTGGAATGCCGGGTCACTGGACTGTGGGAGACAAGGCTGCGGGGTGTGGGAAGACGGTGCACAGAGGTGGGTGCAGGAAGTCGCGCTGCTCACAACAGGGTGCACCGGGCCGCGTGAGGGTGGCAGCAGGTGCAGGCACGGACTGAAACACTGAGGCGGGTTTGGGAGGACCGAGGGCACCCAGGGAAGGCGTGTGGCTCCGGATGTTTGCTTCGGGAAGGGCGTCAGGGCGGTGCAGCTTCCTGGGAGCCCCGGCCTTCGGCCCAGTGTTCCCGGAGGCGCACAGAGGGACCACACGGGTCAGGGGGCTGCTTCTGCGGAGAGGAGTGTGTGTCCACGGCCCAGGGCCGCAGGCCGCACCCCGGAGTCTGGCTGGGGTCGCGGAGACTCAGCAGTGTCCAGGCGACAGAAGCAAACCCAAGGGCGGCCCCGGGTCTCTGCTGATGTGCTTGAGGCCGTGGCCCGCTGTTGAGGTCAGTCGGGGCGTCCTGAGCTACACACACGACTCCTGTAAGATCACAGCAGTGTCTCTGGCTCGGGCAGGGGGACAGACCCAGAACGAAGCACACAGTTTCCTTGCTGGCACTGAGGGTGCAGGAGGCCACCTGTAAGGGAGGCTGGGGGCCTCGGGAGGAGCAAAGTGGCCTCTGGCTGACACCAGAAAGGTAATGGGGTACACCTGAAGCAGGGAATCGGATGTTGCCAGCAACACGAGTCAGGTTGAAATCTGATCCTTCCTTGGAGCTTCCGGCTAAGAGTATGTCCTGCTGACTTCTGGACTTGGGTCTCGTAATACCTGGACCAGAGAGCACGGCTGGGCCCGCCTCGACCTCTGACCTACGGAACTGTGCCCTCATAATGAGTGTTGTCTTAAGTCACTGTTTGTGGGAATTTTTAAAATATCAATAGAAAATGAATATACGGGGCCACTAGCAGGTGCATATGCGGCCATTGGCAAATTTCCAGAAACTGTTAGAGGAACAAATATGAATGGAGAGTGCTGACTGACCGTCTTAGGGGGAATAAGTAAAAACATGAACGTGAAAGTTTTATCCCTTGTTATGTGCTAGCACAGGGTTGGACAAGAGAATCATTCTGGCTGGATCCAAATATAAAGTCATCTACTACAGGACATAAGGAGGCTTGCAGAATGTTCACTAAGACCACAGAAACCAGGCTTTGACCATGTACTAAGGTGAGGCACTCAGGAAAATTGCTCATTCATACCATGAGATTTTTTTTTTTTTCCAGTGGAAATACCTCTGAGTCACCCAAGAAGCTAGGGACCAGACCTCAGTGCCTCCACTGTGGTTGCAGAAAACCAAAGAACTTCATACCTGGAATTTTTAACTGGGCTTCATGGTCTCAAGAGCTCCGCTTTTGCTTTTCAGGTCTGGGCAGAAGCTGGTAATGTGTTACAATCTAGAGGCCAAAAGAAAGAAAAACCTGGGAACTATGGAAAGATGGTTAAAAAAACCCAAAAACTGGACGGGTGAAAAATGGCTAAGAGAGGGAGGTCAAAATGGATGGCCAGCTAAAAGGAGAAAGAATTGGAAAGAGCTTCTTGTTTTTAAAAATTATTGTCAACAAAAAAAGTTCCCTCGACAAAGGGATATGTACCTCAAGCGGAAAGAGCTTATCGGATGTTACAGGGTGAAATTAATTGCAATTATTGCCATGCTTGGATATGTAGTTAATAAATTTCAGAATACTAAAGAGAATGAGAAATGCTGTTTGCAGAATAATAAAAAAATAGATACAAAGAGGCAAAAATTAGGTAAGCATCGATTTTTTGTTTGCATTTATATCAAGCTAAGTAGGACTCGGCATATGGCTCATGCGTGATTAATGAATGAGAGAGGAACTAGAGGACATGTATCAGAAAAGTCAGGGTCATTTTAATTTTATGTTATTATTTTTTTTGTTTAATTTTATGCTTAAATGGTTCCTATTAATCAACACCTGTCCTTTTATAACATAGCTTCTCTGTTTTCTTTATGTAGTTGATTCATTCTTTGATTGGTTTGAATAATTTCTTGAATACTTTTTGCAGGAAGACAATGTGAATGAAATGTAGTCTTGAATAACGTTAATTATCTTAAAATTGTTTTCACAGGTGAATGACAGTTTGGCTGGCTATAAAATACTTAGATAAAAATCTTTCTTCTTTAACTCTAAAAATATTGCTATTTTTTTTTAATTTTTATTTATTTATGATAGTCACAGAGAGAGAGAGAGAGGCAGACACATAGGCAGAGGGAGAAGCAGGCTCCATGCACCGGGAGCCCGATGTGGGACTCGATCCCGGGTCTCCAGGATCGCGCCCTGGGCCAAAGGCAGGCGCCAAACCACT